ATTGAATAACCTATAAATAAGTAAAGTTTATTTAAGTTTAAAAAAGCATTACATAAAAACTCGCACAGGTCAATTTAAACAAGAAACTCGAAAAAGTAGGTTAAACAAAAAGTCTGTTTGAACTTATACATTTATACGTTCAGTTAAAAAATTAAAAAAACAAAAAAAAAAGTTCAAGCGCTATCAAAAGAACGTTCGTAGTGAACGTTAAGTAAATGGTTGCTATTTGTGAGTATTAAACATTCGTATTATACGTTCAAGAACTGTAAATTGGAGTTTGCAAAAGTTCAATTCAATGTGCAGCAAACGTTACGCGAACCTAAATGAACGTTTTGGCAATGCTTCTTGATTGTTTATTGAACGTTTTGTGTTAGCTGAGTAGAGCCAAGATTGGATGCTAAAAAATTGTTGAATAATGACTCCAAAACTATACTAAAACTAAAAACTAAATGGACAATACGTGAGGGGTCAAAATGCTTTCCGAAGCTTTTAAAAATTAGAACCACAGATACTATTTTCCATTAGGCAGGACAACAATATTCAGTCAAGCACTTGTTATATAGTTATGAGATAAATAAAGAAAGCTCTGGAGAAAACCATTTTAGAAGTATTACAGAAAAGTTGTCTGGACCAATAATTGTAAAAGAGTTTAATTGAATTATGAACTTAGCAACAAAAGCTGGATGATTTGAATGTATAGCCTTAGGTTACCTTGTTTAATGAAATAACTTAACTTAAATGAAAGGAAGAATATTTCCATAAGATTCAAATTAAAAGAAAATTTTTTTTGAAAAATGTTTTTCAAATAGTTCAGTTTTATCCTTGAATGAAATAACAAAATCAGTAACACAACATTAAATTGGAATCTTAGACCAAAAATATTTAGTAACGATATCGAAGTTTCTATAGACTTTTTTTTTTATTGGCATGGTGCTATAAACAGCATTTTTATTCATGTATTTATGCTAAGCTAAACCTGTTATCTTTGACTTTTTTTTATCAGTAATTATTCAGGTCCTTTGAAGATATTGGGTTAAAGAGGCACCTGTATGTAATGTTTGCCGGTCTTACACAGATGCAGAAAAAGTTATAAAGGTTGTAGCAAACATTAATTTCAAAACCGACGTTTGACTAATTTTCCATTTTTTTAATAAAAATAAAAGGTAATAAATAATTCACGGGTTTATTTAGGCTGTTATAATAATGACTAATAGTTCTATTTGTTATTCTTTAGTTTTTAATTTAATTTAAGACTTTTTGAATTGCCTACTCATATTTTTTAATTGGCTAAATTCAAAATAAAGAAAGGGGTGCAGAAAAACTATGATAATTACAGACGCCATTGTATCTGAGTTTTCTTAATAATTTTTTTTCTCTATAACTGGTAAGGGCAGGCATGAATACCAAATCAACTAGGAAATTAATCAATAAGTATAAGATTAGAAACTACATAATAGGTTTTTTCATGAAATAAGAAATCAGTATAAGAATGCAACAAGTGTTTTAAGCGTTGCACTATGAAGAAGCAGTAGGAATATGTAAAAGAGCATGGAAATCTTATTTAGCAAAAACAAAATATTTAATCTTATGTTACTGAACTTTGTTTGTTGATTGCCTCAATAATATTTACAACTAGTTTTGTCACTCGTGCATTGAATAAAACTAATTGAAAAAAGTTTCTTAGAACTAGAAGAAACAGAAAAAATATCATGATGCTACTTTGCTAACGCAAGACTTAAACAAAAATGAGTTTGGCTGATGGAACAAGAAATAAGAGTTCGTTTAAACACTAAACGTAACAGTATTTGTGAAAATGGGTAAGTGTTGCAGCCTCCCAGCTGGCGCAATGACGTTGAAATAACGTTAAAACAACGTCGCAAACCGACGACTCATTTCGATGTTTGGGCATTTCAATGTCGAACAAACGTAGGGCGACGTCAGATCTCGACGTCGGATTGACGTTGGGTTTACGTTAGAAATGGAAATGTTATTTGAAGTCGGATAAACTGACATTGTGCGACATCGGCATTCCGATGTTAATTCAACGTGTTTTTTGTAAACTAAAAAATGTTGCCTTAGGCAGGAATTAAACCCCGATCTGTTAGATTCCAAATCTTACTAAACGCTAATATGAAAATAAATGACATAACAATGAAATAAAATGTCATAACAAACAAATAAAAGTCAACAACAAAAAAATAATTTTAAAACACATAAAATAAATAAAATATATTAATTAACAACAAATAAGATGTGTAAACTACTGAAGCATTGAAAAAAAACATTAAGAATCTTTTCTTTCCTAAAACAACTTGCAGACAGACAATTAATACCTTGAGCTACAATATGCGGAGTATGCATAAAAGTTGTTTTCTTTTCTTTTTTTTTGCGTTAAAGGAGTAGGTACTTGCTTACTGTTCTGTTGGTTATTTTTTGTTGGATTCTATTTTTTCTTGCATAAGAATGGTAGTGGTTTCTATAATAAATAATATCAAAGTAAAACTAGTAATACTTGAATAAATTTTTAACTTAAGTTTAAATCTTTTAAAATAGTTCTATTTGAGTATCACTAGTAGTGGCAAATTCAAAATTATCACTTAACTCATGATCTAAGTACAATCATTCAATTTAAAATTATGTTTTAAATATATTATATAATAAAAAATATATATTAAACACTAAAAACAACATATACAGAAATAGATCATTTTAAGAAGAAAGGAAAAAAAGTAATGACTTGATGTTTATAAACAAAATTAAATTATCTCCACAACATTAAATTTTGAGCAGCTTAAATCTTTATTAGTTAGACTGCGGTTCATGCATTTCATTTAAACAATTTATTACATTTAATGATGATGGCTAACACAAAAAATTATCAATCGTATTTTCTCTCTCTATTTTTCTCTAATTTCTATCTAAACAGCTCGAATGTACATTTTGCTTTCCATATTATACTTTATAAACTGGAAAATTTTTTTTTTTAAAAACAACACTTTCTATTCTCATACATAAAATATTTGTTAGCTTGAATTAACTAAGAGAAAATTACAACTTTAACTTATACATTATATAGTTGCCTAGTGAAAATTATAATGAAATTAAAGTGTTAAAATGTTTTACTTAGGGAGGGGGGGGGGCGAAAATTTTGAAATTTTAAATTGAATCAAATCAAAAATATGATTCAAGTTACGATTCAAAAATTTTCAAATATCGAATACTTGCTTATTTTGTTTTTGTTGTGGATATTTTATCCTTAAATACCTTTTTAATCAGTCATTAAAAAAGTTAACAAGGGCAAAAATCATCAATTAAGAGATTATACAATTGTTTTATTTATTTTACTCTGAAATATTTATTATTAAATAAAAAATGCTTAAATTTAGACTTCAAAATGTTAATTCGAAATGTGATTTGAATTGCAAATCAAGACCTGCTTTTATTTGCGATTTACTTTAAAACTAAACTTCCTATTTACAGGACCCTAGTTTTACCATAAATTTTTAAAAAGCCTTTAAAAGTTTTATTTTCTTTATAGTAACAAAATAACAAGAGCGTAACAAGCAAAAAAATTTCCTAAAGTTTCTTAAACGACAGAAGACACTATTATACATTATATATATATATATATATATATATATATATATATATATATATATATATATATATATATATATATATATATATATATATATATATATATATATATATATATATATATATATATATATATATATATATATATATATAAATTTTTCTATGTATGTTAGTTAAATCAACTAACATACATAGAAAAACTATTTAATAAAATACTAAAAAAAAAACTTACTTAAAAAACTGTATGAAAAATTCTACTTGTAATCCACACTCATGAAATATTACCGTCATAAAAAAAGATCTATTTAATATTTATCTTACTAACTGCATCCTAAGTTAAACCATGTGATATTTTTATTTTGTGAAATTTAACAACATTAGACCAACTTTTTAAAAAGGCAACATAAGGCATTATGAATAACTAATAAAGTCACGCATGCGCATTTGAGTTCTCAAAATGTAAAACGAATGGTCGAACTCGTAATATAGGCGTTGGAATAACGTGAAATCAACGTCGATATTAATTGATAGTTTTAAACAAATTTTCAACGTTGATACAAGGTTGAATTTTGGTTATACGACGTCGCGACTAAAAATCAACCGTAAGACAACGTCGAAATAACGTCGTGTGCCCACTAGGCTTACAACTATGGAAGTATAGCTTAAGTTAGGTATTTATCTGAAAAGAAATAAATTTTTATAAGTAATATGGGTTAAATGGTACTTACGTACAAGAAAAAGTAACAAGAATGTATTATGTTGTTGTAATTCTTAAAATTGGCCGTTAGTTAAGCTAATTTCGCTCAGCGTCAATCTATTTTTTAGCCATGGATTCTATAACTTTGGTATTAAATACAGTCTAATTATACACATATTGTTGTAAACTTTTAGATTCTTTATACATGTTAAAAAATAATTTAAGTTTTTTTAACTAGTATTAATGATTATATTTAAAATACTTTATTCAAATTTTATGTTTTTAAAACATATTTTAAATGTGTTGTTTTTATTTCCTTTAAACTTGTTTTCAACTTAATTGATATTATGTTTTGCGCATTGAATACAATGCGTTTGATCTTTTATTAAATACCATAGCTGCAACTCTGTTTTACGTCGTTTTTAAAATCACTTTTATTTTTTATTCGAAAAAATAAGAGTTTTAAAAGAATGTTTATCTGAAGAACATATTGGTAGAAAAAAACTGGCTACGGGTTTAAATAATCACATTATTATATTATTTTTAAATGTATCTAACATCAATAATATTTATTTCATGAATGCAAATATTTGTTTACAAATTATGTAATAATTATATCATTTAAGCTATTAATCTATTTAATATGTGTAAATGTTATCACTATTTTCAACAATATAACATACTTTACTTTTGTTATATTATTCAGGAAACGAGGGAAAAACATGATGCTCAAATCATTTTTTCAAGAGAAAAGCAGCTTTCAAAAGCCAAAAAAAAAGTACTTGAACTTCAAAATGAAATAATACAAATTGAGGAAAAAATGCTCAATAATAAAATGGTAAGAATGTAGTTTAAATAAAAAAAATGTTTTAAAATAACTTATAATATAACAAAAAAGCTGTTTATTAATTATTAGTTTAATTTACTAGGTGTTCCAAAGTATACCGTGAATGTGTGTTGAGCGTTAAAAAGTGTAAAATATATGTAAAATATAAGGAAATTAGGAAATTAAAATAAGAATAAACAATAAAATGCAAATTAAAAAAACTTAGAAAAATAAATTTAATTCTATAAAAAAAAAAGCTCTAGTTTTTAAAAATGCTCTTTTTGTGGTAATTTAAAATATGAGAAACAATTTATTTTAAAAATTAGTTTAATGGTTTTTTCCTTCTAAATAACATAAATAACATAAAAATTATCTAGTATAGGTTTTATCAGAGTAACGGTTGTTATAGTTACAAAAAAGTTTACATTTAAATATTATAATATTAGTACATCTATCATTTTTTTCTTTTTTCACCGTATTGGTGGCATTAATCCATTTTTTTTGCCTTTTTTCTTTTTTACTCCACCTGTCTTTCAAAGAACTCCTCTACCTATTGTCCGGAAATTTTTTATCTTGCACTCTTCATTTGAAGGATTTGCATCTTTAGGAATAAGTTTTACATTATTATCTTTCCACCACTGTATCACAACTTTGTACTGCTTTTTTTTTTGTCATTAGCTAGTGCGTTTTATAGATCTTAAAATAAACTATATTTTGTTGCTTTGTGAGACACAAATCTGTAACTTTTAGATTAAGCAGGATTCATTCTCCTTTGGGACTAAATTTTAGATTAGCAAAACTATTACAAGCATATTATAACGGTAATAGTAAACGGACACATATTCGGCACTTTCTTACCCTCTTCCCCCTTCATTTTTCAGTCAAAATTTAGCAACTCTTAACTGCTGTAATTCTTTAAGAGAAAAAAATTTTTGAAAAAAACTCAATGTCTTTCCTAACTTACATCTTTACACATATATGCAAACTTTCAGCGAATTTGGTGAAATAGGGTGAAACCCCCTGTTTTTTGAAAACTTTTCACTCGTCTGTCGTAATAACAAACACTCTTTAAACTAGTTATTTGCAAAGCACTAACTAGTATGTTTTGGTGTTTACCGATTTCTTTTAAATAATAAAATCTTGTAACTCTAAAACCCAAGAACATTACTTTATAGTTCTTTGCCTAACTGGTTTTTTTCACTGAATTGTATTATAACTATACAAAACATTAAATAATGATTGTTCAAGTTGCTTTTGCCGATATGTGTAATAGTACATTTTTCTGTACTGATGTTAAGTAGCCACTTTTTGCTCGATCTTACTTTAGTCTTGCTGTAACTATATATATATATATATATATATATATATATATATATATATATATATATATATATATATATATATATATATATATATATATATATATATATATATATATATATATATATATATATATATATATATATATATATATATATATATATATATATTATATATATATATATATATATATATATATATATATATATATATATATATATATATATTATTTTATATATATATATATATATTATTATTTTTAGTTTATTTATTATTAGTTTCTATATAAGTGTTTTTATATTAATTTATTATTTTCATCTAAATTCAATATATGCCTAACTACACAAAGTCCTCAAAAGTTAAATCTTTTCATAATACAATGTATATTCAAGACAAAACAAAAATTTGTTTTTAATGTCAGTTGAAGAAATGACAAGAACCTGTTCATCAGCAAAAAATCAATTACTCAAAATTATTTGTTTTCTTTTAAAACATCTGGCGCAATATTTAAATCTTATAACCTTATCAGTAGCAAAAATATATATATCTAGTTTATTGGCTATAATATTCCTATTAGATTTAGTTTCTGTAAAGGTTGTTCTAAATGGTGGTTGACTCTAGGTACCATACGAGGTTTGACACACGTGAAAACTATAGGTCACGGTACTTGCTAATCAGATAAAATTTTATTTTTTGCGAATGGTGTTTTTATTGATGGTAATTATATAAGGAATATTGAACAGTTTTTTCAATAAAATTATAGCTTAACTCTTCCTCAACCAAAACTTTTAATAAATTATTCATATAACTTTGTGTATACTTCTTGATTTTTATTCACTGTAATTATGCCTAATAATTTTTAAAAAATAATTAAATAAGTTAGTTATATAAATAATAAAAAATTGGTGATGCTTAAAATATCAATAGGTTACTTTGCAAAAAAGTTTGCTTTGAGCGGTTTGCATTATAAAGATTTTTCTATACCGATTTTGTTTATAGTCATTAAATCTTTTTAACCAATTTTAAAATAATATATGGTCCTTTTTCTATCTCTCCTTACATAGAGAGATAAAAAAAAAGTCCTGTCTATGGCTAATGAAAAAGAAATATTTACAGTTAGATCAATTATATGAGAAAACGTTTTAAACAAGACAAATATATTCCTTTTAAAGTAAAATATTCCCAACGTATCTAAAATACATCAAGTATCCTAATTGTCTGCAAGTTTTATGGTATTTAGAAGCGTTCAAGTAGATTAATCTCAAATTTTCTCAAACCACAATCTAGAATTTAATGCAAAATTCTGAGTGTAAAGCCAAACCAAGTTAATAAGAAAAGAAGATATTCACAGAGTCAACTCACAGTACGTCAGAATTTGAAGGAATTTTTTCAAAAACATCTTTAAAGTTTTACTTAACACTAACCATAGTTACAAAACGTGTTAAATGCTGAAAAAAAATGCAAAATCTTTTTTTGAGAATGACTAGAGAGGAGTTATTATAGAGTCTAATTTCTATTTAAATATTTTTATGTTTTTACACATTTTGATGTTTGTTTTGAAGTTTTTTTACTAATTTTAAAGTTATTTTTAGATTTGCTTTTAGATGAATTGGTTATCTAAATTAAAATCAATTTTGTTTTACTAAAATAAAGATTTTGTTAAAGATCAATTTTATGTTTATAACAAAATTTTAATCAGAATGTATCGTGTTTGTGATTAAACAAAGTTTGTCTATCATGGCGTGATTGGTAATAAACTTCTAAGACATTGCATAATTTCAAACTGTCAAATTAAATGCAACTTAATCAATATTAAAAAATTCTTTAAAAAAACCACAACTTGCGTGAGGTAGTCTCACTAAAAAGTGGGTCTTTTTGCTTGTCTGTTATGCTAAGTCTAACATAAAATTTTTGAACAAGCTACCACTTTGGTTTATACGGAAAGTCTTTTTGTAAGATTCTAATAGAGAATATTTGGATGTAATCTTTTGGATAAATTTGTAGTTAAAACAAAGCAAGAGTTTATAGAAAAACTTATATATGTATGAAACTACATATATGATGTAAATAAGTATATGAGTTTACATAGAAAATAAACATATATAAGGAATTCTATTCACACTCACCCGAAAAACTCGCCTCTGCTATTAACTCCTATGTTTTCACAACAATAGCTGTTTTTAAAGTCATCAGTTAATTTATATTAGATTTGTGACTTAAAAGTTTTAAATTCATCAAACATTTAACTAATATATATTGTTAAAAGAAATATTAATTTTAAGTTAGTTTTAACACTAATTTAAAAGTGAAAAAATATCAAAATCGTAACATTCAAAAAAATGTTTTGAATTTATAAGTAACACAATTGTGATGCAATTTTTTTACTTAAACTATTATAAGTTTTTCAATGCTAATCAAAATGCTTATAACTTGGTATAAAAAAACAGATATGTGAGCGACAAGTGTAACATGTCTAGTAGTCACACGGGTCAGAGCATTGAACCTCTATCTCTTTATTTCTTTAATTAAATTCTTTTTTTTAAATTTTAGTTATTTATATATTAAAAAAGTTGTAGTTATTTTATTTCATCCTAATTATAAACATAAAAAGTCTATCTTTGAGTTGAGGGTGTTTGTTTGTAAGGATTTAACACACTCTAGTATAAAAAAAACCCAAAATTCTTATGAATACTTTAGAGTTTACTAAAGTGAGTAAAAATTATTACAAGTAAAAGTAAAGTTTTACTATACTACAGCAAAAATTAGCAAGTGGTGCATACACTAACTTAGAGGATTAAATATTTAATCACTTTCCATTACCTTTTTCCTAATAATTAAGTTAAGTAAAGTAGTAACGATTTAAAATCACTTCAAAATCATTATAATTTCAAAAATATAAGCAGTTATATTACATAGTTATATATTAACATAGTTATATATCCGAAATAAAATTGAAATAGATGGTTACTTTTAAAATACATTTTCAGGCAAATTTTTTTGCAGTATATAAATGCCATTTTCAGGCAAATACTTTTAACAAGCAAAATTATTATTATCACCTCCATCATCAAAGTCGTTTTACGGTATATATTCATAACCACAAGTACCAGAGACAAATGAGGAGCTGTATCACTATATTCACTGATTAAAAATGCATATTTTTTGCACCCTAAAAAATAAAAATGATTTAATAACATAAGCATATGCATCGCAATCTAAAATGAGGTATACACACTATATATCGTCTTATGAGAAGAGGGTACTTTTTCTCGCCCTCCAAACTAAAAGAAAATTCACTTAAAAATGAAAAAAAACTTGTATAATTGAAAATAAAATTTGTAATTTCAAAGTTTTTTAGTTATTCTATAGAAATCATTTTGCATCATAGAGATTATTATAGGAATGAAAAGTTTAGTCTTACAGAACCAATTCAAAATATTTTCCACCACAATAAAACACACAAGATGCTTATCATCGAACCAAAAATTTATTACTGATCAAAAAATATTATGAATAAGAAAAATAAAAATCCCAATCTGCAAAATAGTATTCTGCAATCTGCAAAATAGTCAAACTAATACCTGGATTAGATTTTCAATTTTTTGTTTGCAAAAGCACTTTTGCAAAAGTGCGTAAACTTTGATATTTTACTTACTATCCCAATTATAAAAAAATTGCCTAAACTTTTAAAG